AAATTGCAACCTGAACAATTCATAGAATGGGTAGAAATAATGAATCAGTTTTTTGAATGGAAAGAAATTCCGGATAATCGAAAAGTTAAATTTGCAAGCTTGAAACTAACGAGACTTGCATTAACTTGGTGGAAAAACTTTCAAAATAATAGACTTAGAAGGGGAAAAGAAAAAGTCAAAAATTGGGAAAAAATGAAGCAGAAAATAAAAGGAAAATTCTTGCCAACTGATTATGCTCGAACAATATTTAAAAATCAACTCAAATTGCATCATATCATTAAAACTGACGAGGCTCATCGTATGACTTTAAAATTGGAAAAGCAACATCAAAGGGAAAAGGGTCACAATAAAATTGTGGAATGAAACATTTCAAGTAGCAAATTGAAGGAAGTTTCGGGGTTGATTCGGTCCCCCGAAGTCCTCAGCCATCAATCTGATTCGGTCGAGTTAATTGAAGGCTTGAAAACTATTTTTGGTGTCGATTAATTTCTCCGAAGTCCTCGCAGTTGATTTGATCTGACTTAATCGAGCTAAAAGGGCAAGTGCTCTCCCCTAACCTTCCGTCGCGGGGAGGGGATGTGGGTAGGCTATCGAAATTTTGTTACAAAGCTATTGGACTTGCAAATTTTGAGCCCTAATTAATCTATCAATAATTGATTAAAATTCTTAATCTAAAACTCTATCTTAATTGGTTTAACTAATTAATTAATTATGCAACCAATTAATTGACTTAATAATTGACTAACTAATTAATTGATCCAATAAACTCGAGTGATTTCTCAATTAATCGAAGTCATCGATTTGTCAGAGATTTGATCCATATATGACTAATAAATTAATTAATACTTTTAACTTAATTTATTTAGAACAGTTAAATAGATTGAGAATAAGAATATTTAATTAATAAAATACATACAATAAAAGTTAATTAAATGATTAATCAATGAATTAACTAAATTAAATAAACAATCTAACTAAAGTAACTCATGCCGAATATGAATTAAAAAAAATCTCCCTTTTTAATCATAAAAAAAGAGATAGAACTAAAATTTAACAAATAAATAAAGTCAATTGATTAAATTAAATTTTAAAATTATATAGCATTTACTAAAATCGTAATGTAAAACTTTAAAATTAAATATTTTAATCAAATTTTAATCTAAAATAGAAATTTTTTAATTAATTGAACTAATTAATTTTAAACTTAATTAACAAAATCAATTGAATTTAAATGTCCCACTTAAATAAAATTATGAAGAAAAATTTTATCAATTGATAAAAATTTTAATGAAATAAAAAACTTAAGTTAAAATTAAACTTTAACTTGAAATTAAAATTTTTTAATCAATCAACCAATTTAATTAAAATAATCAATGAAATAATTTTTAAAACATCTTCAACATTTAAAACTAACAAATTGAGGGAAGTAAATTTTAATTAAAATTCAACTTACAATTAATTAACTCATGTAATTGTTTAATAATAAAATCAAAATTAATTGAGCAAATTTAAAATATAATTACTGAGATGAGCAATTGGTTTTAAATTAAAACTTAATTTCAATTACAAAATTATTTTATTAATTCATATCATTAATTAGTACAATTAAATTAATATTAAATAAAATATAATTCAGAATAATGTTGACACTAAATTGATGCCGCGCAACTCTTAATAAAACTCAAATTCCTAAAAAGCAAACCAAAACTCAAAATAGAAAGAAAGGCTCCAAAATCTTAATTTAAACCCAACTTGTGACAAAGCCCCCGCTCTTAGCAAAGTTCCAAGCCCTTGGTGAGCTGCATTCCCTATAGTTGCAAACTGCATCTATTGTAATGGCTGACTACGAGCACCTGCAAACAAGCAGTCAAAAGACAACACATCATAAGTAAAATTAATGCTGAAAAGAGTAAGTTAGCTAGTGCAGGTAAGACAAAGTGCTGGAAAACGGGTAAAAGAGCAAACCACTGTGCTAAAGTAGAGCAACAAACTACTGTAGTAGGAAAAACTACGAGCACAAAATAACAAGACACTGACGCTAGTGTCGAAACCCTGAAATATGTAAAACCTTAAACCCCTAACCCAGACAACTTTCAATGAAAGCTGTAAGTTTGACTTTAGGGGAAATATTTAGGCAAAAATGACATAACCTCTAACCCCCGCTTAACAACCGACAACTTCTAATAGAAGCCTTAAGTCCAACCTCTAAGTGAAATGTTTAAGTAATTACATAACCTTAGACTCCTCACTTGAGCATCCTCGTCTATAAGGTTAGGTTTTAAGACCCATTATACGGGCCACTTAACTTACAGGGCTAGTTTGTAAGACCCGTCATCAGGAAACTTCTAAGGAAGTCATACGACATATCCAACTGAAAATCTCGGGCATCTTAGGGTATAGGGATAAGTTATAAGACCGCTATTCGGGCCACCTCTATTAAAGGCCGTAAGATCAACTATTAGGGTTATTTTCAACTGAAAGCCATAAGCCTCTATCCTAACCCAATCATATGAGCAACTCTTAAGCAGAGCCATAAGACCCAACCCAAATTAAACCAATTTAAAATTCACACCTCTACACTTCAGTTTACTCAGGATCCCAAAGAGGATGCAACCAATGGCTGCTAATCAAATTCCCTGGACACTATAATCAATGGTTGCTAGTGTTGATAGACTGAAACCCACAGTATAACCGGGACGACGGAACCATGAGATATGGATTGGGTGTACCTTCATCCCCCCATAACTAAGATTAAAACTATAAAACACTGTTTCACATTTCCACATTCCTTGCATAAACTAAATATATTTTATCCTTAATCTTGAATGCTCTTCTAATGCGTTAGGATGTGTAATTAGCTATGAGGGCTTGCGCTTAAAGGAAGTAGGACCCAAATCTAAATAAACTCTGACACTATTCTCAGGGAAAATCTGGTCAGTTTTAGATCCAATTTACCTTAGAGAAAATAAAGAACCTTAAGCTTGCGAGAGCGAGGTTCGCGCCTTTTATTATTTTTCCAGAGTGAACATAAATATTTTGGGTTCAGGAAAACATATCTTAGAGTCAAGTTATTCTTACATGGAAATTGGATTAAACATAAAGGAAAAAAGCATACATTTAAAAAGCTTTTTGTTCGCCTCAAGATAATGTTTTTGCAACTTTTTGCCTTTAAGTTGAACTCCATGGTCTTAAATATCTCATCAGATGCTATGAATCATAGAGTCAAGTTCCAATATAAATTTTCTGAATAGACCACCATTACACCAACATAGTGAATTGATCACTAAACTAAAAATAATTAAGTCGGTTTAATATTGGACATTGTATTGCATGGGAATAAGCTTGTAACTAAATCATTTTATGGTTAGTTATATAGCTACCTATGTCTAGGCTAGGTGATGGGAGTCGTGTTAGAAGGACAATCCAAATATCATTTTAATGAGAATCCAAATATCATTTTAATGGAAGGACCATCAAGCCCCTTAAGAGGAGAAGGCCACGAAGTATTAAATATCTCATTGCTAATAAAGCAAGTCAGCATCAACTTAAATTACATTTTATTCCATAGGAAGAGTATTTATAAAAGAACATAGCATTCTTTTTTAAAGGGGGCTCTTAATACATGTTGTGAGGATTCAAATGCATGTCTTGATTTTAATTCTTCTTTATCTGCTCCCATCATTTAATGGGCTGACTTCAGGATTGAGACATGTATTTGATTTTAATATGATTTCTATGAGAGAATCCACAAAAAAATGTGACAAGGAGAGTTTGTGGTTGGTTTCTTTAGCATGTTAGGGTTTCGGAGGAACAAAAAAAAAATATATCTTGGGATAGATGTAATTATTTATATCTCAAACATAGGTTTCATTTTTCCCTTCAAAATTAATTAAAAAGCTAATTTTCAAGTAATAACAGGCCTCGAAAGTTCAAAAAATTTTAGGGAAGCTATCATTAATTGGCTCAAATGGAAATTGTCCTAAAGTATTTTATAAAATTGATATTAGTGGAAACCACAAGGATTTTGAAGCGTTCCGTAAACATTGGCGGATGCTTATTATGTTTGAAATTATTTTATTTAATAATTATTTTTGTTAAGTATATTTAGGCTCTTTTGTTTCAAGAGTATGATTTAGTTTATTATTGATAGGGCTTGAAATTTGATTTAAAGGATAATTGGATCCTTAAAAAAAGTGGTTAATATTGTTTCTAGTCATCCTTTTGATTTTGATATTTAAATTTTCTGTCAACCTGAGAATACTTGCTTGCCTTACATGTATTCAAGGTTTTTTTTTTATTTGCTTTTATATAAAGAAGACTTATAGTTTTCTAAACTACTCTGCTGTTCTTGTTGTGTTCTAATCATCCTAATGATGCACCCATTTTGTGGATACACTAGATTGAGATCATCAATCCCATTTTCTTTGTGATACTTATGGTCATCAAAATTTAATTAAAGTTTTTTTTGGGCTCATTGTTTCAATAAAGTGGAATAATGCTATTTGTTGAAGCATGATGTATCGATGTTTTTTTTACTGCTTATTTTACTCAGTGTATATGTTTGTTTTAATTCCTAATAAATTCCCTCACTGATGGAATATTTTGGGCTATTTACGTATGGTTATTAGTTGTTCTTTATTTTATTATTTTGCTTGGAGGAGCTGCAACCTACAGGTGGCATGCAAGTTGGTGGTGGTATTAATTTGGAAAATGCTGTCCATTATCTAGAGGAAGGAGCTAGTCATGTCATTGTTACATCAGTAAGATTTTTTTTTTTTTTTTATAATTTTTTATTTATTCGATCAAGCATTATCATAAGGTGGTGCTCATTTAAAATAATGTTTTATGTTATTTTTATGCATTAAGCTTCTTCTTCTTTGAGTTTGATTCTTGGGTATAGTTTCATTATTTTTCGTTTTTTACCCCATTCCTCTTATAGGGTTAATCACATCAAGTATTTAAATCTGCTATATTTTTTATGACGCTGCAAGAGTTGCGTGATGAGGTTATATAACTTGTCACACTTGCCAAAAGAATGTTATAGACATTAATGGCCTTTATTGCAAGCATTGGACTTTGTTCATTTTAATTCTGCAATAGTGACGTCCCTCTTTTGCAGCATGTTTTCAGGGATGGAAAGGTTGTTCTCGAGCGGCTGAAGGAGTTTGTTCATATTGTTGGCAAGGACATGCTTGTCTTGGATCTTAGTTGCCGGAAAAAGGTACAAGAAAAATACATCATATATACACAAACACTCGCATTGTTAGTCATTACTGATTATTCATTCTTATACAAACAGATTTTGCATCCTCATCTTCCACTAGTGCATGTTTTATAATAAAGATTATTTCTTTGGTATTACTGGGTAATATACTGGTTGTAGTTGTCATTTAACTGTGGGCTCCGAAAATTCGGCCCCGGCCTCCGCCGGCACTGATGTGCTTTTTCTTTGGCGAGGGAAGTTTTAACGGAATTAAGTTCCGGGGTAAATTTTGGAAGGCAGATGGGTTTGTAGATAAGACACTACCCAGAGATTTTGCCCTCATTTTGCGAGGACTTTATGATCTGAGTTCTGGTTTCCTATAGGCGCAAGCCCCTATAGTTAATTACCCCTCCCAGTAACGAGAGAGAACTTTTGATTAAGGCTAGTCGTCATTCAGATACGTAGAGTATACGCGTTATCTGGCATACAGTAGTAACATAAGTATTTGAAATAGTTGGAGAATTTGAGAATTTGGATGATTGAGAGATTTGGAGATTTGATATTTAAAAATTTGAATTTGCACCATCTTGCACTTAAAGTTGATGGTGGGGGAATGAATGATAGACTCGATCAAGATCCCATGGTTTCGTCGTCCCGGGCCATCGTGGTCCCTGGTTTACTTAATCAGAGGAGGTAGTCGACCCAACCTGATAGAAGGATCCTTGTCGACAACCATGGATTGCTTCGTCCAAAGGGACCTTGTACACCTGGGATGGGATTTTCCTAAGGGGATAAATTTGAATTCACCTTAGCTAACAGAGGGCTTTGTGCCCTATCGATCATATCCTATTGATTCATATCTAAAGCATTTGATGCCAATAAAAAACGTATTGGCTCTGACCATAACCGATATTTCGTGGTGCCATTTGGCGGCAAAACCGCTGGTTAGAGGACACATACCACGTCCTTATTGGCAGGAGATTGTTTGAGAATATATGCTACTGATATTTTCGACTAGGCATTAACTCTATGCGAGCTGAAGTAAATTTTGAATTTGTCCACCCCAGCAAACTATTGCGGAGGGTAGATGGATTTTGCTTTAAGCATTTAGATGGTTAATTTCAATTTTAAATATTTGAAATTTTTGAGATATTGAAAAGTTTTGTGGAGTTTTTGAGTTTTGATAGGCATTTGGGCGGAGTTTGAAATATTTGAAATTAATCTCTCCGGTTGAGATAAACAGTCAACACGGCCATCATCGGGGTGTAAGGGATTATTTCTGTTTGTTGATTGAACCCTGTCGACCCTATCAACTTGCCGATAAGGGATCGGGTTTCGTAGGCTTTGTGCCTTTGTTTGTGAATTTTTTTTCTTAAGGCCTTGAAAGACTAATATAAATGTATAAAATAAATATTCGGGTCGACTTCATGACCGCATATTTATCCAATGGTTTGAACCCTGTCCACTCCTATTTAGCTGCTTAGGAGGATCGGGTTTTATAGACTTTATGCCTTTGTTAGTGAATTCTCTTGATTATAGGCCTTGAAGGCCTAATATGAATGTATTAAAATAAATACAACATTCGCCACAATCGTGTATTTATTTGAAGGTTCGAACCTCGTCGACTCCTATTGTTTCGTATAGGAGGATTGGATTCGCACTTGAATTCACTTGTCGACCCGCGCAACATCCCTAGGCGTCACGTGTGTACCAATAACACGCTCTTCGGGGCCCATGCGGGTTATGATTGTATTTACCCCTTTAGTGTACCTATGTGTATACAATCTACGGTGCACGTGCATGATATTTTGAAATATTTAGTTCTGCAAGTAATTGCTATTTGAATACACAACATTTCATTTGAGAATTTATTCACATCTTATGTCCGCTAGTACGAGTGTTGCGGATCCGGTGGCGAGTATCTGGATGTCACAAGACACATCATCGTCCTAAGTGTTTCTGATTGTACTTGTTTGTAGGGATGGGTCTTTTACGATCGAGTGCTAGTATTGCCATCTCAATCTACAAGCAAACTTGTAAGGATTGTTATAGAAGTCCACTGTATCTATCAACATCATCTGTTGTGTATCATATATTCAGGTATTGATGATTGTTGTTGTTTGTAGTTGCTTATTTTGATAATCATTTATCATCTGTATGCCTTGGAGTCTTTATTCATCAACAACCAATATCGCCCTCTCAATCTACAGCATAGCTATTATTTGCGTGGTGGGTCTTTGATTGTTGCATGTGGGTAGTAATCGTGAGCTTTGCAACTGTCTGTTGTTACTTACAAGTACAGTGCATTGACTTTGTAAGGACTGTTGCGGGAGTCTGCTGCATTCATCAGTATCATCAACTATGTATTTTGTCTCATGCGTTCATAAGTTTTGATAATTGAAATTTGTTTGTGATTGTTCAGATATTGTGAATGGGTTACTGTTCGTTCATTGCTTGTATGTATCGAGGTCCTATTCGCCATGAGTCCCCTGCAGTTTGCTTGTATTTGTTCGAATGCATTAGATTGTTATTTGGCATTTGAATTTAGATCTTGATTGTGCATTTTAGGATCTAGGTTCCACTTCTTGTAGTTCAGTTCAAGTCCAAGTTCCCTGTTGTTCGTATAAATCCTCTGCATATTTAGTTCAAGTTTTATGCATTCATGTCCAAGGATGGGTCGTCTGTATTGCTGCTCAAATGGGGTCTTTTTATTGTTCAAGCTTTGTGCACTTTAGTGAAAATTTTGGCAGCACCCTGGCATATCCCCAATTTGGGGAAAAATAAGGACCTTGGCCTTCCCACCACGCTACTCGAGTGCGTATGGTAGTTGTCCTCTAGACACCGCATCCGTGCATCTTTTCATCCCACCATGCTACAAGAGCGTGTATCGGGCCTTCAACAGTACTAATACGAGAACACCAGTGACTTCCCCTCCACGCTAGAAGAGAGTGTATAGGGCTTAACCACCTCGCCGTATGCGTCGCACCGGGCTCCCTCCTACCGCGCTACAATAGTGCGTATAGGTTGTTCTTCAGTCCGCCATAAATCGAAAATGGGATTTTAGAACATTATACCTTTCGTAGAAGTGTCGGCGGCACAAATGTCGAGGTCGAAGACAGTCCCCACCACGCTACAAGAGCATGTATAGGGCTTACCCACCTCATTGCACCTGTTGCACTGGGTTTTACCCTACCGTGCTATAAGAGCGCGTATAGGGGGTCCACCAGCGCGTCAGGCGCATCGAGGGCGGGATTTGAAACATTATACCTTGTAGGAGTCGTTGGCGACTGTCGGCGGTGTCGACTCGTGGACCGAGGGAAGAGGGTCCTTTTCCTTTATTTATTTAAACATTAATTATAATTAATTATAAACTATAATTTTTTTAATTAATTATGTTATTTATTATTAATTAAAATAATTAATTATTATTATAATTAATTAAACTAATTAACATCATTGGAGGAGGGAAAGAAGTTACCTTCACAGTGAGCGAATTCCTGTTCTTGCTTTCGATTAAATTGTCTTAACTTTCGATCCCGTGGGAAGGGAGAAAGTTACCGTCGCAGCAAGCGAGATCTTGTTTGGGCTTTCGATCAAACTCCAAGGAAATGTCGTCGAAGGCACGAAGTCGATCAACAACGAGGTAGCCGAAGAAGCGCACCAGCGAGAGAAGGAAGTGCCGAGAGCCTCGTATCCTCCGATATTTAACGACGCGAGGCAAATCTACGCAATCAAGGCGAATGTGGAAGAGGCAGCGTCGAATCGTGGGTAGATGATGGCGTAGGGTATTTGACTTTGTGAGATTTTGGGGTGGGAGCCGGCATTACAGGTACAAATGAAATAAATAAATATATATATATATCCTGAGGTTCTGATTCCTTTTGCCTAGCGCTCTGAGTAGCGAACTTGATGAAGGATTATTTGATTTATCTTTACTGACTTGTCAGAAGATTTGTACGCCTTATGCCATTTGCTTCTAGCTTTGGCGGGTTTGATGAAGGGGTTGACGTGCCATGCCGGTGACTTAAACCATTTAGGTTTGTACTAGGTCGGTGGCAAGGAGTCATCGGTCCAGAGCTTTGTGCGTAACGGACCTGTTGATAACGAATTCTTTTAGTTCAGCCTAAAGCTTTGCGTGAACTTTAGGATATTTTTTTCGGTCATTTACTTTGTGCTTTGACGGACTTGTCGAAGAAGAATTTCTTCGATCCTTGCTTTGTGCTTTGCGGATTTGTTGAAAGATTTGTAGGTTTTGGATTCAGTTGATAGTACCGAATATGGGTAGTATCTCGATCTGAGAAAATTTTAATTTGAGTCACTTGAGTTCATCAGATCGGGAGAGCTAGGATTTGACAGTTTTTCGTCCTCTGGTTGCTGAGATGGGGGTTACTCTACTACGGCCATTCTTATGGCTTGTTGAGTAGATAGAGCTGCCAGCGATTCGATCATATTTAAGCTTGTTGGAACCTTTACACCCATTCAGGTTACAGATTGGAGCTATGGGAATTACGCTCCCCAATATTGATTTTACTGAAGTTGGTAGATTTGGTATCATCTTTTGTGGTTGAAGATTTTGGAGCCTACGAGCATTCGATAGTTGTTAGTGACTCCTTCCACTAGAACTTTGATTCTCCAATCATTTGGGAGAATTCGTTGGACTACGATCACTTGAACTGGTTGAGTCAAATTGGCCTTCGTACTTTCTACAGTCCTTACTGACGGGTTGACGAAGTGGTGGTTCCGCTACTACGGTCATTCTTATAGCTTATTGAGTAGACAGAGTTGTTAGCGATCCGGCCATATTTGGGCATGTTGGATCCGGCTTTTTACACCCATTTGATACTTAAGCTTCAGGATGTTGAAAGACTTTAAGCTGTTCTGGCCCAATTTGTTGGAGTGTGTAGTCACAAGTCTCTTTCATGACTTTTAAATCTTCTTAAATTGGAGAAAGTGATGTCCTAAACTTTTTGAAGACCACCTACACGTACTTTGAGAAAGAAGTCTTTGTATTCTTTAGC